ATCAAGAAAATGTTAAAATGAGGTTAAATGTTAATAAAACAACCTTCACTTAAACAAACAAACAAACAAACAAACAAACCAAAACTAGTTACAGTTGCTAATGGACAACAGTGTCCTTTCTTATCACATCATATACCAAGCACATAAAAGGAAATTAACTGTTATGAACATCATAAATATTTTATTGTCACTACAAATACATTAGCCTTATAAATTATTAAGAAAGGCATATTTTATCACAATAGCCTTAACACTTTCATTGATGGACTGTTGTGAGAAAAAAGGAAAATTGTTGCTGTATGGAATTCACTATATAAATATTTTCCATAAAGGATACATAAAGATGGAAAAGTTGTATTAGTTAAATATATTTATCAACTAAATTACATTTTTGATAAAGTATAATTGCTATTTCTTGAGAATAACGTATATTGGTAGGAGAGTGTATCAATATTGATTTATGTTTCAGTTGTCTATTTATGTGCATTGGAGGCTGATAAACATATATCACTTATGTTTCTTTTTCATAAGGGTTTTATATTGTGTGTATTTAGAGATTACTAATAAAAGAAAAGTAGTTTTATTGGGTTATAGTCTAGGGTTTTGTGTCATGGTGATATATGCATTTATTTATAGTTACTGTGTTTTTATATTTAGACAGCATAATATTTATGATCTTATTGCAAAACACAAGCATTTAAAAGTAAGTGACTGATGGGTAACTACAGTAGAGCCTCAGAGTTACAAACACCTCCACAGAGGTTGTTCATAATTCTAAAATGTTTGTAATTCTGAAAAAAATGTTATGGCTGTTCTTTCAAAAGTTTACAACTGAGCATTGACTTAGTACAGCTTTGAAACTTTACTACGCAGAAAAAAAATGCTGCTTTCCCTTAATTTTTTTTAGTAGTTTACATTTATAGTACTGTACTGTATTTCCTTCTTCTTTGTCATCTCTGCTGCTGCCTGATTGCGTTTTTCTGGTTCCAAATGAGGTGTGTGGTTGACTGGTCAGTTCGTAACTCTAGTGTTCGTAACTCTGAGGTTCCATTGTACATTGTTCCAGCACAACAACCATACACCACAGAAAAAGCACCACAACCTTATCTTCACCCCAGTAAAGGTACCAACCATTCAACACGCCTTTCTTCAAATCTGATCATGTGTAATTTCACAGAACTGTGCTGAAAGGACAGTAGAGGAGGGAGGTCTGGTCTGGTCTGTTTGGGTATATCTATGCTGCAGTTAAACACAGGGCTGGAGTTGGGTAAGATTTGGGGATGGGATGTTGGAAGGTCGGTATCTGTAGGCAGAGTTAAGGTTGTGATGCATGTGCATCTCTAGGTTGTAGTCTAGACTAAAAGGTATGTACTACTGGTACTCAACTTTTCATTTCCTTGCTTTTAGGTTTGCATTAAGTATGTTACTCACGGAGCAGTCTTTACTGACATAACAGAGAATGTCCAATTTAGGTCCTTTGAAGTCTGAGTGGTGTGAAAGGTAGGGACCTTGTATCAGAGTTTGGAGATCTCCGATCTCGAGCAATTTTTGGAAAGTGTCTGCAGTTTGGGGCATTGCGGTCTATTCTTGAGGCAAATGTTGCTTTTTAGAATGTTTTTCACATGAACTTCAAGGAAAAGCCATCTCTGACAGAGATTAGAACAGAATGCAGAGAAGCAGAAAATTCCCTCCAAACTTCCTTTCAATTTAGAGGCAGAATGTTAAGAAGGGGCTCTGGAAAGTCCCAGAGAGCTCCCTGCAGAACATCAGCAAGCTGTAACAAACTACACATCAGAGATTCAGTCTCTGGAAAACATATCCATTTGTGGCCACTTGGAAAAGCGCTCAACAACGAATATTACCAATTAGTCTCTGAATGAAAAGCAAGCCTGAAAACAGCTGATATAGGTACATACATATTTATATTGAAGGTTCCATATTATCTGAGAAGAGATTGTGCAGCCCAGAATAAAATAATTCATCCAGGTGCATTTCTTTCTCTCAATGGAGGGTTCTTCATTAATTTATTTATAAATCTACTACTAATTATACATATATATGATTAAAAATCCATACCTAGTCCTCTAAAACAATCATACTTTATTTTTAATAAGTGAAAAATGAAATGTCATCTGCAACTATTTTTAAGAGAACTCTTCCTGTCTTTGAAACTTAGTATTTGAACTGATAAAATGAGCATACATATTCTTTTCTCTCAAATCACTTGGTAATTTCCTTCATACCTGAGGCACAACATGTTCATTAAGAAACATTCTGAAGATGCACAGCTGTGCTGGTATCATTTCCATCAATGCCTTTGAAAAACGTTACCTTAATCTGACAAGCTTTTTAAAAGAAACAGACACTAGTACATGCCAAAGAAAAGGGTAATCAGTTATGTTTCTAACTGGGATCACACAGCAGTCCTCTGAAGATGAGAGATAAGCCAAGATCTGCGCACTTCACATAGACTGATAAATTATAGTTCAGTGTGGGGGGGGTCTAACTTTTAATGGATTTCTTTAAACATATGCTAATGGATTTCTTACCATCCTAGATACTACACATCTGCTACATCATCTCGGAATGGTAATTTTGTGCATTTAAAAAGATAGGCACGCTGGGCAATATTCTATTGCACTATTATAGCTATTTCATGTTTTTTATGACTGCATTAAGTAAGGAATAATATATGTTAACTCTGAATTATTAAAGGAGTTGAAAGATAAAAAGAAAACAAAATCAGCATTATGTTACATCTTTTATGGACATTTATAAATGGCATATTGACAAGGTAGAAAATAATGCCTTCTTCAGAGCCCATATGCTCAGTCTTGTAAATTTGTCTTAAAGCTTGCATTTTCAGCTTCACAGACTTCAACAGCACCTCAGAACCTACCCAGCTGTTCCACATGTACACAATGGACCTGATCGTGATCCCATCAGAGACAAAGGCAAAACTCCCATTGATTCAATTGTGCAGGATCAGGACCTATGTCCTAAAGCCATGCAGATAGTACCAGAGTTTGGAGCAAAACTAAAATACGATAAGCAGTTGCCTTTTTTTTTGTACAAATATCTTGGTTTATTTCTTCTGCAAATAAATGATTGGACTAAGTTATTTCCCAAATTATTTGTATTATTTATTTACATCAGAGTACTTTTCAGCTACAGGAACAGCAACCGGACACTTGTCAGATGACAGAGATTTATTTTTCACATACTAAACCAAATCAATAAATGCATAAAACTAATTGCCTACGATGAAACTCTGATAACTTGCAGCTTGCATGAAACAATGTTTACTGTTGAGTATTAAGGTCCTCTTGAGAAACAGATGCTGGCAAATATGTACAAGCTCTGATAGATTCCCAAGTGTACTGACTTCTATAGCCCCCATACAGTGAATATCGAGTGGTAAGAAAAATTCATTATTTTAAAGGAAGGGTAAATTGAAGATCACTTACTGCAGCTAAACTGAAGCAGGGGCTCCAATAACGCTTCTTACGCAAATGACAAACATATCAAGTAAAAATTTACTTTATCAATGTCCTATTCACTAGCGGTGGCTGCAGAGAGTCATTTGCAAAAGAGCTATAATTTATGTTAAGGTTTGTAACAATAGGGCACCCCCCCACACACACACACCCTTCCTAGAGGATGCTCTCAGGCAGGTGAAAGTGATGCAAGTCCAAGCTGAAAGTAATCTGACAACAAACATAAAGAAGG